GTAATGTAAGGGAACGCTTAGACAAGGCTTTGGAAACTGTTAATTGGAGACTCCTATTCCCCTATGCTCAAGTTCACTATGAGGTATTTCTAGGTTCGGACCATTGTCTTCTTCTTCTTCACTGTAAAATTCCTCCAAAGTGGGTGCCTCACTAGTTCAAGTTTGAATCTATGTAGACCACACACCTTGAATGTGAAGAAATTATTAAGGAAATTTGGGCCCAGTTCCAACCGGGTCCTCCAATTTCTAAAGTCTGTCTTAGGCTCCAGAACTGTAAAAGAGGCCTTATCAGTTAGAGTAAACAAACTTTTGGAAATAATAGAGTACGGTTGGCCACTTTGAAAATCAGACTTTATCATCTTCAGTCGCTCCCCTACTCAGATTATAACAGCACCCAAATCAGGCATGTCGAAGATGAAATTGAGATGGTTTTACTTAGGGAAGAAATGTTCCAACACTAGAGATCTCGTATCAACTGGCTCAGTTATGGGGATCGTAATTCTGCCTTCTTTCATGCCTCGGTTATTAAGGGCAGGCAGCGAAACCAGTTGGTCAAACTCAAAATGGATAATGGTGCCTGGTTAGAGAATGACAACACTATTAATGATCATCTTTCTTCCTACTTCACTGAGCTTTTTCAGGCAAAAGGCCCTAGAAATTTTGAGGACACTCTGGCAGTGGTGAAGCTGTCGATCACTCAACCAATGAATAAGGCCCTTCTTAGACTAGTGGCGGATAATGAAGTCAAGCTTGCTTCTTTTCAATTGGGTCCTTTAAAAGCCCCAGGGCCTAATGGCTTTCTGGGCCTATTTTATCAAAAGCATTGGCCTGTGGTCGGGCCTGTAGTTTGCAAGGCAGTTCGTAGCTTTTTTCATACTGGCCAGCTGCATGAAGGTGTAAACCACACTAATATCATTCTTATCCCTGAAGTGCAGGCCCCAGAAAAATTGAGTCAGTTTCAACCTATCAGCTTATGTAATTTTTTCATGAAAATCATAACAAAGGTGCTAGCTAACAGATTGAAACTTTGTCTCAAGACTCTTATCTCTCCGCAGCAAGCGGCCTTTGTACTTGGCCGTCGCCTCCAAGATAGTATTCTAATTGCGCACAAGGCCTTCCACTTTTTAAAGCATAAGAAACAGGGGCGTATGGGTCTTTTGGCTTTGAAATTAGACTTCAATAAAGCTTATGATCGAATTCAATGGGATTTCTTACAAGCTACTCTTCTTCGTCTGGGCTTTCATCCAAGATGGGTGAACTTGGTAATAGAATGTGTGACTACTGTGAAGTTTTCAGTGTTTGCTAATGGTGAACGACGTACCACATTTACTCCTTCGTGTGGGCTTCGTCAAGGTGACCCACTATCACCATATTTGTTCCTTTTGGTTACTGATGTGCTCTTCAATTTAATCCATCAAAGCCTTATTTCCAAAACAATTTCTGGACTTCGGATGCACAGGACTTGCCCCCAGCTATCACACCTTCTTTTTGCAGATGATGCCATTCTGTTTTTCAAGGCTGAGCATTCTGAGGGTTTGCAGATTTTGAGCGTGGTAAGGGTCTACAGTGAAACGTCTGGCCAAATTCTCAATTTTGATAAGTCAGGAGCTCTTTTCTTTGCTGACACCTCAGTTAGTGACCCCTATGCTATGTGTCTTTTATTGGGTGTTTCTCAAGCCAATCCTAAGGCCAAATACCTGGGCCTCCCAGCCTCATGGGGCAAATCTAAGACCGAAGCATATAGTTTTCTTCTTGAAAAAGCTTTGTTGAAGTTACAAGGGTAGAAGTCCAATTTGTTATCTCCAGCGGGAAAGGAGATTCTCATCAAGGCAGTTGTTCAAGCTATCCCATCTTACACAATGGCATGTTTTGAGCTCCCTCAAGCTTTTTGCTCCAAACTCAACAGTTTTATTCGTAATTTTTAGTAAAAGGGAGACCCAGAAAACAAGGGTATTTGTTGGGCCAAATGGACGCACATGACTAATCCTAAATCTGAGGGGGGTATGGGGTTGCGAGATTTCAAAGATTTTAATCTAGCCCTCCTAGCCAAACAGGGCTGGTGCTTATTGTCCAATCTGGATTCCTATTGGGCTTGAATTTACAAGGGCCTTTAATTCCCTTATTCTACTTTCTTACAAGCTACTAAGGGCTCTAATGCGTCATGGGCATGGACTAGCCTTTTAAAGGGTCGAGAGTTGATTCAGGCTGGTATTCGGTGGCAAGTTCAATCTGGACAACAGATTCGTATTTGGGAGGACCTGTGGTTTCCTTCTATTTCAGGTTTTAAAATCTTTTCACCAAAACCTCCCCACTGTGAAGTTTCGATGGTGACTGACTTAATCGATTCGACTCACAAGTCTTGGCATTTGGCCCCACTGTCGCACTATCTTACCACTGAGGAAGTTGAGGCCATTTCAGTCATACCCATTGCGGTAGAAGGGCGGGATGATTCTGTCATATGGCACCCCAACAAGTCAGGCCTCTATTAAGTTAAATCGGGCTATGCTCTAGCCAGATCTCTTAGGGAACGATCATTAGGAAGCCCTCCTTCATCCTCTCTATCCCTCGTTGATAATATGTGGAAGATTATTTGGGGCTTAGAAACTCTGCCCAAAATTCGGCACTTTTGGTGGAAGGTTTGCCATAACCTCCTAGTAACAAAAGCTGGTCTTTTCAGGTGCAGGTATGGAACTTCTGAGGTTTGCCCAATCTGTCTCTCTGCTAGCTACTGAAACTGTGGAACATCTGTTATTTGATTGCTCATGGTCTAAGGCAGTGTGGTTTGAAAGCTCGCTCAATCATAGAATTGATCTTGGCTTGATTCCCAACGTGTCCCAGTGGACTAGTGATATCATTAGCCAAGCCCCCTCTACTTCTAGTGCACAGAATTTTCTCAGTAAAATTGCAACTGTTGGTTGGTTTATCTGGAAAACTAGGAACGAGTTTGTCTTCAACAATATTCCAGTGGATCCTTTGGCTACACTCCATCGAATTGCTCTTTTTTGGACTGAACAAGAAAACCTCCTTAGAGCTACATCTAATCAAAACCATAGGCCGGCGTCACTGCCCTCTACTCTTGTTTCAGGCTAGTTTCCAGCTCGCCATGGTCATTTCAAGATTAATTGCGATGCCTCATTCTGCCAGCGGAACTCCATGGCTACCATTACAGCAGTTCTTCGAGATTCTAATGGACATCTAATTGATAGTAACGCCAGGACTGTTTCGACCTCTTCAACCTTCCAAGCTGAGGCTTTCACTATCCGCATGGCTTACCTAATGGTTCGGGCCCATAACTTGTCGTCTGTAGAGGTTAAAAGTGACAACCAATCGGTTATCAAACTCTGTGTTTCATAGCAGGTCCCTCCATGGGAGCTGAGTGCTATCATTCTGGATATCCGCTTCTTCGCCTCTGCCCATCAACTTTCCTTTTCATGGACCAATAGGTCCAACAATCATGTGGCAAATTGGGTGGCCAAAACCCAAGCTTCTTAGAGTCTTCCTCCGACATGGGTTGTGCTCCCACCAGTTTGTCTTTTATCTTTATTATCTGCTGATGTATCTTATTTTGTTGGGTAATCTAATTGCCTTTCAATTCAAACTAATGAAAAAATAGAGCATGAGATTAAACATTTTTATCCTTTTACTTATTAGTTTGATTCAACTATCTAATAAAATCGAGAATATTAACAGTTTTTTCATTTTTAAAGTTTTTTTTTCAATTTTGCACATCAATGTTCCATCATCATGCTCTTTTATAGATACAAAATTTTTAATTATGCACAAAAAATAATTTAGTTTTCTTAATTTTTTCAAAAAAAAATTAGGTTTTTTTTTTCACATAATTTTTTTTTATAGTTTTTTTCAATTTGAAAGTTGATATTTTAAAATTTTAAAAATCAAAATAAATATCAAATCATTGTGTTTCTTTATAAATAATGAACAATTGTTGTTTGAAGGGTAATTCCGACTATTAAAAATCTAATAAGACTTGAAAGTCTAAAAATTTTAATTAAAACTTAATTAAATATAAATTCATAAATTAAAACTTCTGTTTAAATGTCCCTGATTATGTTCATATCATTTAAAAATTGACTTAAGAATTGACAGAAGTAATGCATATAGGAGGAAACAGAGAGAAAAGAGATTCATTAGGGCCAGGCTGCTGCCCAGTCCAATTTGGACATCGCCATGCGAAATTCAATTGGGCTACAGTCGTTTGTTAGTGTTTGACAACACTACTGGTCTGTGGGCTTTGAAATTAGGACTGCCTATGTCTAACGAACCCAGCCCATCCAAAACAAGCCCCTGAACATCTAACAAAGCAGCCCAAGTGAGTGGACGGACCAGGTGCCTTAGCGGTGGGACCTAGGAAAGGAATTCGTTTTTTATCCTATGTACGCTGAATACCATGTTGTTATCGGTGTGTCCCTGGGAGATGCTGGAGAGCTCTAAATTTAGAGCTCTAATTTGAGCTCTAGTGATGTGTCCAAGCAATAAAAATAAATAAATAAATAAGGCAAGCACAAATATCACATTAGAGTGGGTTCCACATTCCCATTAGAGCTATTAGAGCTCCTATATTAGAGTTCTAAAACATTTTTGGTGTGTCCCTCAATATCAATCTAGAAAAGAAGAAGGAAAAATTAATAACAACTAACGTAATTGGAACAGCACTCTGCTAATATTGTGTTCGGAAACACAGGATAATTTCTCCCTTCCCTTCTGTTCTGTCCACGTAGTTGGTTGAAAATAGCCTCCACCTGCCTTCCCGATCACCATCCATTCCCGCCTCTGCAATTATTAGAGCTCCTATATTAGAGTTCTAAAGCATTTTTGGTGTGTCCCTCAATATCAATCTAGAAAAGAAGAATGAAAAATTAATAACAACTAACGTAATTGGAACAGCACTCTGCTAATATTGTGTTCGGAAACACAGGATAATTTCTCCCTTCCCTTCTGTTCTGTCCACGTAGTTGGTTGAAAATAGCCTCCACCTGCCTTCCCGATCACCATCCATTCCCGCCTCTGCAATTCTTCTGGAGGCTTCACGGTTCGTCTAATCTCTCTCTCTCTCTCTCTGCTTCGAGCTCTCTTTATTTTGAACTTGACGTTAACATTCAAAGAGCATTCAATGACCAGACTCATCTCTTGTTGCTGTTGATCACCAGAATGAGTCTCCAATTACAATCTCCATTAACGCAGCCTCATCGAACCCTCGCAATTCTCCACATAAGACCATTTCAACTTCGCGAGTATCGAGTATGGAGAAGACCTCGAAGATTCAAACCCAATCCAATCTTCCTAGTTCGCACTCAGTTAGGTCCTTCTCCTTCTCCATCTCCTTTCGACAATTTGTTCCAAAACTTAGTTTCTCACTTTCCTTCAATCAATTCTCTAGATTTAATCGCTCCAGCCCTAGGTTTCGCCTCCGGAGTCTCTCTCTACCTCTCTCGCTTCAATTCCAATCCAATTCCTCGACTCTCTGACATCGGCGAGTGGATTTTGTTCACCAGTCCCACGCCGTTTAACCGTTTCGTGATTCTTCGTTGTCCTTCGATATCGTTCGAATTGGAGGACGTGAATGAGAAGCTAGTGAAGGAGGATAGGCATTTCGTGAGGTTGAACAGTGGGAGGATTCGAGTTTGGGACAGTGATGAGGAGGAGGAGGAGGCGGAAGAGAAGCTTGTGTATCAGAGAGTGTGTGTGAGTAGTGATGATGGAGGAGTCATTTCTTTGGATTGGCCGGCGAATTTGGACTTGGCGGAGGAGCGTGGATTGGATACCACGCTTTTGCTTGTTCCCGGAACTGCTGATGGGAGTATGGATAAGAATATTCGGTGGTTTGTGTGCGAATCGTTGAAGCGCGGTTGTTTTCCTGTTGTCATGAATCCTAGGGGGTGTGCTGGTTCACCACTCACCACTGCACGGTGAGTTTCATTGTCATTTCTTTCCATTCTACTCTGTTGCTGCTACTGCTTGTCCATAAATATGTCAACTTTAAATTCTCTAGACAAATTTGTTTGCTATTTTTTATAGCCTTTTAAATAGATGTTGTGTTGTCTAAATTGGGTAGAGCATTATGCATTGAATTCCTGGTACAAAAGGTGTATTGACTCAATTTTTCAATCTAAATTGGATTGGAAAAACATCTAGATATAGCTTTTATACATTGAATTCCTGGCAGAAAAGATGAAAAGAAGTAGAAAGGGGGAAAAAAATTAAAAAAGTAAAACAAAAACAAAATAGAGAGGCATGTAACTGAGCAAATGCGATGTCAGCAGACTCAGCAATACAGAAAAATTGTGTGTATGGTCTTGCATTTTTGGGGGGCTTGGATTTCAGATTGTCTGGTTAATTTATTCTGGGAATGTGTTCAGCAAAGTTTTTCCTATATATATTAATCAAACCAAACCAAGCCTTAAATCCCATTAAATGGGTCGGCTGTACTATATATATTAATCACTCAATTAAAAAAATATGGGTAACCATATGTTTACTTTGATATGTGCATGTATTCTATGCATGTTTGAGCACCTTACTTCACTGAACCTTTGAACTTCGCCATAGTACGTGCTTGGGTCCCTGCTGCTTTATTCTTTTCTACTCACTAATATTGAATTGTGTTCCTTGACTTTTTGCAGCTTGGTGAAACTTGCTAGTTGAATAGCATCCTAATTTGATTAATAGTTAGTTTTATGCTTTGCGTATGAACCTACCATATGCCTTAAATATTTGGGTATTAGAATGAGATACGTTCACACACTGGGTTGTGGATAAGAAAATCCTGGTCCTTTTTAGAATTTTTTTCTCCGAGAACAAGCTGATAGTAGGACACCTGAATTACTTCATTTATGTAGGTTATTTACAGCTGCTGACAGCGATGATATCTGCACAGCTATACAATTCATCAATAAGGCAAGGCCATGGACAACATTGATGGGTGTTGGCTGGGGTTATGGTGCAAACATGCTAACCAAGTACCTGGCTGAAGTTGGAGAAAGAACACCTCTTACGGCTGCTACATGCATTGACAATCCTTTTGACTTAGAGGAGGCCACTAGGTCCTCTCATCACATTGTTCTTGATCAGAAGCTAACAGGTGGCCTCATAGATATTCTACAATCTAACAAGGTTTGTAAATTTTGCAAAGATTCTATTTGTTTAGTTTGGATTTTAATCTTCTTTATTTTGAGACTGGAGATGTTTCAACATAAAACTTAAATTGTGCTAGATTTCGCAAGCCTCCAAGTGGGTCAACCATGTAGTGCTTGTCATTTGTCTTTTCATTAGAGTGACTTCTGTATACTGATTTTCAATGCTTTCAGGGACTATTTCAGGGTAGAGCAAAAGGATTTGATGTAGAAAAGGCTCTACTAGCAACATCTGTCCGAGATTTTGAAAAAGCGATATCTATGGTATCGTATGGATTTGATGCCATAGAAGATTTTTATGCAAAATCCAGCACTAGAGGTGTGGTTGGAAATGTGAAGATTCCTGTTCTATTTATACAGGTGTGCATCTAGTAATGAAATGTGCATTTGGATTTTTACGAGATTACTTGTGTTTTGTTTGGATTTTGATATTAGTTGGTTGTTGTATTGATCAAGGATGCTTGTAAAGATGCGTTAATAATTAGGGTTCATTACACCAAGACCCCCTAGCGAATATCAACTTACCCCCCTAATTTATGATCCCGTATATATTGACTCCCTCAACTATAAAAACTGTACAAATGCCCCCCCTCTAAAGATGGTCTGGAGGGGCTGAAAGTGATAACATTCTTATAGTTGAAGAGGTCAAAATGTATGGGTTCATAAATGAGGGGGTAAGTTGATATTGGCTAATAGTTAAGGGGTTCTTGGTGTAATTAACTCTAATAATTATGTCAATGCCTTTTGTTGTTGGTATGCTTTGCATGCCTCTTATTTATATGTTGGTTGACCAGGAACCATATCACTATAGTTTGAGGCACCGCGCAAGTAGTTATTTCTTTTTCTTCTTCTTGCCCTTCCCCTGTTCCCTCTCTCTCTGAAATCCTTATAGTTGACCTCTGGTTTCCAGGTTCCTGAGTTTCTGCAAAAATTTATGTGGAAATTGTTATGCCATCACATATGCACAAACTTCATCTAGATATTATTGTCTATTACTCCATTATCCTCTTCATATATTCATTACTGACAAGTTACAGTTATATTGATTTAACAGAATGATGATGGAACAGTGCCATTGTTCTCTATTCCACGCAGTTTGATAGCGGAAAATCCATTTACAAGCCTGCTTTTATGTTCTTGTTCACCATCTAGGGTTATTGCAAGTGAGAGATCTGCTATATCTTGGTACCAGCATCTCACCATTGAGGTAACAACTTAAGTAGCTTACTATTTTGTCATTGAGCAAGTCTATTCTGATGTGTAGGACCTATTTTCAAGAAATTGGTCTTCTTGACATCAATCCAGTACCAATTCCCAACGTACTTCAGTCAAGAGGTCACAACTTACAAGTTGTTAAAACTAATCATATGTACACATAAGCTACATGGAATAGAAAAAAGCTCAAGATTGTGAAGGTATTGGGCCAATCACAACGAAATAAGATGAACACACTGTGGATTGAGGAATTAAAAGAAAACAATGAGACTATGACTTGAATTTGGTGCTTTTGTTCAATCTGACAATGCCTTCGATGCACAAACTATTCCAACCACCGACTTCATTCTTCTTACCCTCTCAATCTACACCCACAAACCAGTCTTCTAGAGGTGGAAAATGAAATTGAAGTTAATGTCAACACTGCACCATTTATTTTGATTTCAACATATGTTGCTAACAGTAACAAAATGTTAGATAACATGCTATACTTTTAAAATGCAAAAAACCTTAAAATTGTCCTTTTAGACTATGAATATATTTGTAAATTGTATGTCATAGTCACTGATCAGTTTATGCTTGTAGACAAATCAAACATTGAAAAGAATATTTTCAGTTCTTAAAATCAGTATACACCTTGTTTCTCAAGATTCGAACGAGAACCCCTTTGATTTGGTATTTGGGGGGGAGAAAACAAAAAACCTTGTGCAGTAGGTTGATAGCCAACGTAAAACCTATAGTCACATCTTTATGAACATGGATCCTAAAATTGCTCAGTTGGGGCATTCCCTACTTGCGACATGCTGCATCAAAGCCCGTGTGTAGTTACAAATGGTGAAGGGTATAACTAGGGCGTTCTCCCCATGTAACATGCCACATTGACAATTGTTGTGGTGAGGGTTAGGTGAGGGTTTTCAAACTTCAATAGACTAGTGCGGGTAACGAAGTTAGTCCAAGAGAGTGGGATATGCCTTGAACATTATAATATTGATAGGTAAATGGATGGCATTTGTAGATACTATGATTAGAAGGGTAATTAACATTATTTGTGTAAAGAAACTAAAAAGGTGGGGGGAAATCTTTGAAAATTAAAGGAATAGGATATAAACTTTGGTATGTTGGAATGATTATGATTGTTGTAAAAATTTGAAAGAAGTGATAAGAGGTAAAACAAAAGGTTATCGCATAATATTAGTGAAATGAGTGTTAGAAGAGTAGGAGATGGAAGAGGAACAATAGCGGAAGTAAGCACCCTTGAATTAGATGGTTGAATTTAAAGGTGAAATGTAGCCCTATTTAAGAATATAGAATGATTAAGGAGGAAAACTCAAATTTGAAATTGTAGAGGCGGACAAGTTTGTGCCAAAAGGGGGTGAATTCGCTACCCTAGGCATTTTTTTAACAAATTAAAATTAGGTAAGCAATTTATCAGGCACAAACTAATGCCAATTTGTATAAATTAATCAATCACAATGGTAATAATACAAGTAAAAGGAAATGAGGGGGCAGTTTATGTGGAAAAGTTTAGGAACAACTTATCAAAAAAAATATTAGGAAAAACAATCCTTAAAGAAAAATCATAGGCATACCCCATCGGTATAACAATCCTCTATCAATTATGAGTTTATACAAGACTCAAGAAAGTAAGGACTTACAACCCAAACCCGGTTGACCTTCACATTTTGACGTCTTCCATGTGTAACACTCATTCTTCAGACATGGTGGCTCTAAAACCTTTATACTCCTCTTTATTGAATAGCCAAACCACAGTCTCAACCATTTTTCTCTTCACGGCTTCGATACTCAATCGACCAAAGGCATGTAGCAGGGCGAAAGTCCATGGACTTTTGTCAAAAGAAAACAATCATTTAAAGCTATTGAATCATTAGAACATTCGGGTCTCTTCACTGATTAATATATCAGAGTTTTCTGAGAGCCCTTAGCCTAATGCCTATTTATAGTTTGTTTAGAAAAGACATTGCATGAATTACAAAAACTTGTGCATGTTACCCAGCTCAAGCACACTACTATCCCTGTTCTCTTTCATGTAATGTTGTCACCCATGTGACCGCTCTTTGAGCAGGCTACGAGAAGGAGCCTCTTGGAATTTTTATATTTTTTTAGAAACCACTGAGTGCTGCGCTCAAGCTCTTTTCAAGCAGGCTTTGAGTGAGGATCTAGTTTCTGCCCCTTAATCTTGTTTTCACAATTTTTAGTTCCAAAATATCAAGGTTAATGTTAAGTCAAATAGGCCAATTTTAGGTAATTAAAACCAGTGTCCCAAAACTAATGCAACATTTTTTTTTCCCTGTGCTAAGATAAGCTCAAAACACAACCACAACGGGACTTCGCAACCACTGCTTTGTGTTAGTCTTCAAACTGCCACACTAAAGTTAGTCTCCAAACTGTCACAATAAAGAAGAGCAAAAAATATCATTTTGGCTGGCCCAAGCTTATTTAGGAAGCTCCTGAAAGTTGGTTATTTCCAGGAATGATTTTATGAATCCTCACCATCTTATTTGTTATGTTGACTGCTTTATATTTGTCTCTCATCCTAAGTTTGTTTTTAGTGTTGATGTGTCAATTTTGTATTGAAGTAAAAGAACTATTGGAGTACTTAGTTATTTGGGGTTGAAGGAGTACCAATATTTTCAAAAATTATTTTCTTGGGAAAACAAATTTCATTTTATGCCTATTTCAGTTATCTTGGTATTGTTTGAATGATGTGTGTCTGGATGTGTGATACTGATCTCGCCACCATCACCATGTGTAATGATCTTCTGGTTTTATTGATATGGAATGGAATGTTTGATAGTGGTATACTAGGATTTTGGCCAATGTAAATATCACTTGTGCAACTGTCAATGTTATGAGTATGCATGTGGTATGTGCAGTGGCTTGCAGCTGTGGAACTTGGACTTTTAAAAGGCCGCCATCCTCTTTTGAAAGATGTCAATGTTACCCTCAATCCTTCAAAAGGTTTAGCATGGGTGGAAGGCACAGCATCTGATAAAAGTGGTAGAGTAAACAAACTCCTAAATCTTTCTCAGTCAAATGTTTTAAATGGGTATTCTTCATATCCTTCAGAGGAGAGGCTTGGAGAAAGTGATATCTCAGCTAGCATCAGTTCAAGATTCAGACATGATTCACAGAGAAATCCTGAAATTGAAGATAGAGGATTGCAACAAAAGAGCAATGGTACATTAGAGCAGGCTAGCTCTGTTGATGCAGTATTAGTCAAAGAGGAAGGCAATCCTACAGATGATGAAAGAGGCCAAGTGCTCCAAACTGCACAAGTGGCTATGAATATGCTTGATGTGACCATGCCTGGTACTCTGACTGAAGAACAGAAGCAGAAGGTATTGCTTTATTAGTTGCATACTGATCTTCAATATATTGTATTTCAGTTAACAATGGTTAGTTTTACATGCTCTGTATGTTGTGTGCATAAAATGAAATATGAAACCATGAAACCTGTAGCAGTTCTATATTTTTCAGTTAATGCTAAAACATTTTTTATTGTTAACTGATTTCATATCATGTCATTATTTTTCCCCCCTATATCTATAGAAATCATTGTAGGTTAAGTGTTGTAATTTTTTTTTTTTTTGTAATATCATAGTGTGTTTCAAAATTATTCATGTGGTGGTGAGAATGACTGCCTGGCACATTTGAACTCCTTGGTGCCAATAGCTTTTCCCTTGAAAGAAATTATTTTCATTGTTGTGATATTGGTCAAATGGCTGATGTGGAATTGTATAGATAGGTCCTAGAGAGTGCTACCCTTATGGAGAAAAATTAAAATAGAGTTTGTTTCTCTCTCCTTGTATGATGCTTCCATGTTGTGGTGTGAGATTCTGCTTGGCATTTCATTAAGATGAGTTCAGAAATAAAAGTTGTCTATTTGTTTTTCATGGAGTAGGGATTCTAGGTAATAATAATTATGAAGTATCACCTTGTAGAACTCAAAATTGTCTCATAAATACTGTTATGAGCTATTTAAGAATGTCTCATGTGTTAATGAATTTCCTTGATATACTTGCATATTTGGATCCACAGGACTTGGTTTAAAATGATTCAGTGGGCTACTTAATGGATAAAGTATAATTATGCTGCCAAAAAATTATGGAATTTTTATCACAATTTTTTGTCGTTTGTGTCTAGGTCCTGATGGCTGTGGGCCAAGGAGAGACAGTTGTGAAAGCTTTGCAAGATGCTGTGCCTGAGGATGTTCGTGGCAAGCTTACAGCTGCTGTTTCTGAAATTTTGCATAATCAGGGAACAAATTTTAAGCTTGATGGATTTCTGAATATCAATCGGATACCTAATGTGGCTTCCGGATTAAAGTCAAAGATCCAGGAAAATGTTGAACTCTCAAGTGGTGGAGGGTATGAAGATCCTCATTCTTCAGATCTAAGCAATAGGGTTGATGACCTGACAGATAGTTCTAATGATAATCAAGTTTCTGTGGACAGGCCTGCTGGGGGCCTGGAATCAGAGCTTCAGACTTCAGAGACACTGCAAAAAACCACTGACAGTGGTCACTTTCAATCAAATACCCAAGGAGGTGACATCTCCAGTTCAGGAAACAAGGACACTGTTGAATGGGAAAAAGATCAGGAAAATGTGGATATGTCTAGAGAAAGAGCTGCTCAATATCCTGACTCTAATGAAAATGGGTCAGAGACTGTTGCTAAGCCTAATTTTCCCAGCCAGTCTGAAAGGCCTGGTGGCAGTGAGGATGCAACTGTTGACCTACACATCGTGAACCAGAATGGTGGACTAGCTAAGTTTGAAAGGAAAGAGGAGAACAATATCCAGGAAAATGTAGAAAAAGTAACAAATTCTTCTACTGATCAAAATAACATGTCATCCAACATGACAGAGGAAGGATTGTCACATCCAGTACCATCTTCTGAGGCCCAACCAATGGAAAGCGAAGGAGATGCCCAACCAATGGAAAGCAAAGGAGATGCCCAACCAATGGAAAGTGAAGGAAATGATGATCAGAAAAGGGAGGAAAACAGTACACATTCCGTTTTGAATCAAAACAGCTCTGATTCCCCAACCTTCAGTGTTTCTCAGGCATTTAGTACCTTGACAGGGATAGATGATTCCACACAAGTGGCTGTTAACAGCGTATTTGGTGCAATAGAAGATATGATTACTCAGATGGAGGAGGAAAAAGACAATGAAACTAAAGTTGATAAGGACAATGAAACTAAAGTTGATGATAAGAAAGACAATGAAACTAAAGTTGATAAGAAAGAGGTTGAGGACAGGAGAATTGGCTCTATACCTGAGAACCATCAAGTCATTAATGACTATAACTCAACAAGGAAAGAAGAAAATAAAAATGACCAGAGCTCAGAGTCTGACATGGTAGATGACCTTCCTTCATATGATAGAACAGTTTCACATAATGATGCGAGAACCAGATGGCCAGACAAGGAGAGACTTATAGGAAGCCCTGATCCATTTAACGGGGAAAGTAAAGAGGAAAATGGAACAAAGGAACTTTTGGTAAGCAGCAACCTTTTGGCCAAGAATTCAAATATAAGGCATTTATATAATGTTCCACTGTTTATAACTACAAACCCATATGGTGACTCTCTTTACAAGGAATTCCTCCGTAAATATCTTCTTTCGAAGATGCCAAATACCAAATCACTAGACTTAGATACAACTACTGCTTTATTTCTCGACTATTTTCCAGAAGAAGATCAGTGGAAGCTCTTGGAACTATCTGGAAATAATGAAGATTCTGCCAGTGATGTTGCTACTCATGAAGGTGCCAACAAAGATATTCAGGCTCATTCACCTTCAAAATCAGATACAGACGAATTTATTGAACCACCATATGTTATAATGGATGCTGAAAAACAAGAGGAGCCCGTTCAAGATCAAGAATATGAGAAAGTGGGCAACTCGAATCAAAAACTTGTAATTGGTAATGAAACATCAGACTCAGAGGTGATGAGCTTTGTTAAGAATATTGTACTGGATTCATTGAAGGTCGAAGTGGGTCGAAGGCTAAGTACAGATAACACGAAAGAGATAGAGCCCAATCTTGCCAGAGATATGGAAGAAATTTCAAAGGTGGTGTCTCTGGCTGCAGGACATGGGAAGGATCATACATGGTTTTTGGATGGTAAAGACAATCATTTGGAAAAAATAGGTACGCTTCATGGAGAGCATATAATAAAGGCTATTTATTTAGCTGTTCAGGAAACCAATTATTTGAGAAGAGTACTCCCAGTTGGTGTTGTTGTAGGCTCTTGCTTAGCTGCTTTGAGAAAAAATTTCAATGTAGAAACAGTAAATGGTAATAGCCAAAGTGAAGCCATGGCCCTTGATCAAATTAATCATTCTGTGGAAAGAAATGGTGCTCGACTATTTGAGACAGAGGCTGATCGACTGCTTCGTAATAAAATCAATCTGAACTACAATTTGTCCAGAAGCAGAGATGGGAAAAAGGATGAATTAAAAAAACTAAACAATGGTTCTGTCATGATTGGTGTTGTTACAGCTGCCCTGGGAGCATCAGCTTTGTTGGTGCATCAACAGGTGACACTTAGATCTCTTCACACTATGTATTATTCTTTTAACCTGCTCCTATGATGACAAATTTTGGGATATCATTCCTCACAAGTGAGTTGGATATTTTATCTGTGTCAAGTTCATCAGAGGGTGTCTCTTATCACCCCAAAATAACTATGACTTTGTTCAGATTTCTTGCAAGTTGTTCTGATGCACATATAAAGTGTGAAGTTGCTTCAATTAATAAAAAGGAGTGAAAGTGGTGTCATTTACCTAGAAAATGCAGTATTGATATTACATGACTGTCATGTTTGTTATTTTCTGAAATGAAAGATTACATTAATGGCCTTACTGTTTTTGGCCAACAACACTGGCACATTCTAAACTGTCTAGGAGTAATTTTTCATTGCCTTCTTCACATCTTCCTTTTTAACTTTTCCCTCAATGTGTTAACTGTTGACTTTCGAAGAAAACTGCCACCCAGTTTATCCTTCTCATTTTGGTCATGGAATCTTGTGCATGTATTCCCTTTTCTTGAACAGAAATGAACGAAGCCCTTTCAGATTATTTCGTATTTTGCCTCACAAAGTTTGGCCTTCTTCCTGTCTTCCTCTTCTACAGTTTGTCATATTAATAAATCTTGAAAGTTTTCCTCTCTCAACGTTACTCCTTGTTAAATTCAAGGAAGTTATTTGCCCAAACTTTATGGTCTTAACTGGAACAGCATCAACAACTCTTCATAAATAATGATGCATGCTAGGTTGTGCCATTGTGTATTTTTTTTTCTTGTTGGGTCTTTATGTTTGTTGGTGATTTATGGGCATTGAAGGATTCAGCCAAAGTTAATGAAACTTCTAAAAGCTTGTCCAAGTCCTTGGAGGAGAAAGGAAATCATCAGAAGAAGCCTGACAAGCTCGAGGAGGAAATATCTGAGAAAAACCAGAATGGCATAGTCACAAGCCTTGCAGAGAAAGCCATGTCTGTTGCTGGTCCTGTGGTACCTATGAAAGAAGATGGCGAAGTGGATCATGACAGGTCTGGTCAGTTGTTTAATTAACACATAAATACTGATTTCCCTTGATATACTCACTGTTCTCCTTGTCCACTCAGGCTGGTGGCGATGCTGACAGAATTGGCACAAAAGGGTGGCATGTTGAGGATGGTTGGTAAATTTGCTTTGCTTTGGGGGGGTATGCGTGGTGCTATGAGTTTGACTGATAGGCTTATCTCGTTTCTGCGTATTGCTGAACGACCCTTGTTTCAAAGGTAAATTAAGTTACTGGAGGTTCTCTCTTCTCTCTTCACATTAAAAGTATAAATTGTAGTTTATTTATTGAAAACTAACTGAAGAAGATTAAGGTAGTGTTTGGTAGAATTTTCTAAATATGATTTGAGAATAGAGTTGTATTTTGAGTTTGTGAGTTTTGGAATTATAATTTGAGTGTGGAAAATTTGTTTGGTTATGAGTTTTGAAAAGAGTTTTGAATTGAGTTTGAAATGAATGATGTAACATATGATATTTAATTCAAAAACTTACAATTCATAATCAAACACACAACCCAAAATCTTATTCAAAGCTCATAAAAAAATTTAAAAAAATTCTGGAAATATTTTTTATTTAAAATATAAAAATAATAGGTGAAAAAAAAAAAAAAAAACCTACACTATTCTGGTCAACCGGCCGAACGTCTAGGAGGACAACCGGGTTAGCCAAATTTTTCCATCTGAAAAAGAGTTTTCAAAAGTGGGTGTAGAATTAATTTTTGAAAACTACAACCAAACATCATGCGCAAACTAAGGTGGAATTACAATTCCAAAGCTCTTCCAAACAGAGCCTAAATTTCTGAAAGAAAGAAAACTTTTAATATATCACACATGAAGAAGGTACAACTTAAGTGAATATGTATCACTTGGACTTAAATAACTCTGGTGGAGAGCCTTAGCACTCAGGGAATTAACTGTGCTTCAATTTGTATTGTATTGTTGCCATACTTCATACCAGAAATATTATCACTTTTCAGATTCTTTACAACTTTATTCTTGTGTTTTAGGGTTGAGAAGCTGCAAAATGAAGAAGGTTCCATAGGAATTCTCATTGTTGATTTTAGCTATGTAGTTGTTATTGTTGATAGCTTTTGGTTCAGCCACTAGTTTTTGCAACATTATCTTGGAGAATCAACAAAATTATCTGATATGGCTAGTCAAATCTAGCTCTGTACCCTGTGCCCCTTTTTTCTCCTTTTCTTGTTATTTCTTCTATTCCACAGCAGGATTGCTTATGGAGCAATACCCTCTCGATATAAAAAAGTTAACCTATATTGTGTAAAATGGTGAAAACTATACAAGCATTTTGTCTAGGTAACTAGGTCTCTTAGTAGCTGGGATATAAAATTTTTGCTTAGTCAAGTGTGACTCTGTGGTTGTAATGGGTAATTTTGGGGAGAGATTTTTAATTTCACTTCTAAACATACTAGTAAATTGAGGAACCTCAGATCATATATATATATATATAAAATAAAATATATATATATACACCCAATATTGGGTGCAGACCTAACCTTTGACCATTATAAAAAGTAGTTACCCGCATACTCAAACACACAACCTCAAGGTTATTGGGTAAATTTTAACCACAACCTCAACATTAGATTCTGGAATTCACAAATAGTTCTCTCAGAATTTTGAGATCCTGGGAAAGAATTTTTAAATACTTTTCTTGTTACGTTTATCTCTCTTCAAGATATATAATATTTTCTCCTAGTAAACACATCTACTTTACCAATGGTCTTTGAAGCTAGCTTAATGCAGGCTTTTGATGGCAATCCTTGTTTTCCCAGTGGTGCTGGTGGTCAACTAGTTCTTATCCGTCAATCAAATGACAAACTAAACCAAACCAACCCAAACTAAGCCTTAAGTCCCATCAAATGGGATCGCCTGCATGAATCCTTCTTCTCCACTTGACTCTATCCAAGGTCATTTCGTTAGTCAAATTAAGGAGATTCATATCTCTATTTACTACACTAGCCCACGTCAATTTAGGTCTACCCCTTCTCCTAACATTACCATCTACCGTCACTGTAAATGACAAACTAAGCTAAAAAAATTATATTTTGTACCAAGTAATTTATCATAAACGTCAGCTGTACACCTGTTACAGTTATTTCTAAGAATATCTGATATAGTGCCTAAATCACAGGGACATTAATTGCTTCATTCAACGTCAACCACATCATAATATATGCCTCAATTTAATGATACCTTACATTTCAACTACTCCATGCTAACAACAGGAATCATATTTTTCCTACTCTTCTTAGGGCCATGACAGTAGGTCATCATATCTATTACAAGCCCTATTCTCTTTTGGCACTCATTTAGCCCTCTATATACAAACCAGCAAAGTAAACAATAATGATTCTTCTTTTTATTGTTTTGGTGGTCGTTAGTGTTTCTTTTTGGCTGACTCCTCTTCCTGTTCTATGGATCAGAAGCATCCAGCTGCGCCACGCCAGTTTAGAATTCGATTCTATGGACTAGTTTTCTAAAATTCAACTGGACTAATCAACAGCATACCCATTGATCTGCCATTTTGTTACACAAGCTTCATAATGTGTTATAAGCAGATCCCAGCAGTGGATGTGTCTAATGTAGCGCACATGCTTGTTCCAAATATATTTTGACTATTCATTCTTTCCCAATTGAGTTTTATTGTAAACCTAAATATTGAGTTTACTGACTTCTTTGCACTATCATGCTTTCTTCCACTAGGATACTTGGGTTTGTCTTCATGGTGCTTGTTTTATGGTCTCCAATTGTTGTTCCACTTCTTCCTACACTTGTGCGAAGCTGGGTGATGCATGACTCCTCCAAAATGGCAGAGCTTGTTTGCATTGTTGGCCTCTATGCCTCGATTATGATACTTCTTATGTTATGGGGCAAAAGAATTCGAGGGTATGAAAATCCAATTGAGCAATATGGGCTGGATTTTACTTCTTTATCAAAGGTATGGATTTCACTTATCGTGCAAAGACAAAGTCCTTAAAGTAGCAAGTGTAGGTATATCATATATAAACGACCATTGATGGAATTTACCCAACTTAGGGTTAGTTATATGAATTTTTCAACACTAGGCTCTATTTAGGGTGATATCCAGAGTCCAAGGTCATTGTTGGAAACTGCTTCTTTTTATAGAAATTATGCATCTTTTTTAAAAATAATGTATATTAATTTTTCTATAAGCAAATTTGGCTCTAAGGTTCAAGGACTTCAAATGCTATTAACATTTTTTTCTCCTGTTGTTTAGCTTGGACCAAAAAGCTAATGTTGGGTTTTTTCTTGCAGATCCGAAATTTTTTTATGGGATTGATTGGAGGGGTTATGCTTGTTTTATCAATACATTCTTTGAATGTACTGCTTGGTTGTGTCCGTCTGTCATGGCCTTCCACTTTTATTTCATTTTCTTTAGATGATATGACATGGCTCAAAGGATTTGGCAAGATGCTTTTACTTCTTGTTCGAGGAATCGTAACAGCAACAGGTGTATCACTGGTAGAAGAACTGCTATTCAGGTCATGGTTGCCTGATGAAATTGCCACAGATCTTGGATATTATCGCGGAATTATTATTTCAGGACTTGCCTTTTCTTTGTCTCAGAGGTATGTTTGTCATTTGCATTTTGATTGACATTGAGCCTTTGTAGTTTCTCTTTCCGTCTTACTTTTTCTTATATTTATTGGCATTTCACAAAAGGAAAAAGAAACATTTTTAAGAACACCTTTTCTCTCTCCTCATAGGCATGCACATGTATAAAGCACTGCATTTCAACCCATGCCAGAACCCTCCTTTTAAGAACACTGTCCGAAATGCTCATGACAATATTTTTCTTCTGGATCCTTTTTTCCAATTCTGGCAATTACAATTCTTTCTAATGACTATATGGAAGTGAAAATATCATGATCCTTTTCTTCAACCCAATTTCAGGTCTCCGTGGGCAGTTCCGGGCCTGTGGCTTCTGTCATTGGGTCTTGCAGGGGCTCGGCAAAGAAACCATGGTAGCCTCTCCATACCAATTGGATTGCGCTCAGGGATAATGGCTTCAAGTTTCATCTTACAAATGGGTGGTTTCTTGACATATCAGCCCAATTTTCCCCAGTGGGCTACTGGTACTCACCCATTCCAACCCTTTAGCGGGGTTGCTGGTCTTGCTTTTGCTTTGATATTTGCAATAGTTCTTTATCCAAGGCAGCCACTCCACCAGCAGAAAAAGACGAGGGAAATTCAGGAATGAGATGAGTAAAAGAATGTAGTAAATTAAAGGTGGATTATGAAGAAACGTTTGCTGCATATTTGGTGGCTCCTCTGTGATTACATAGTGTAGAAGAGTTGGATTTTTCAGAAATGGAAAGAAAGGGACATGAACACACAGACCAAAAGGACCTTGAAATTTTAATGAACCATACATCCATGCTTTCTTTCAAGTGCCGGCTTTCTCAATGCCCTGGGTATTTAGCACAGTGAATAATTAGCTAAACCCCCCTAGTGTAACAAAAGGAAATTTTTGCAACTAGGGGATTGAATGTATATAAATTTTCCAGATGAACATTTCGAGTTTTTCCTACGTCAGTGTACAGAGTGATTCTATTTCTTTTTACTAGGCAGAGAAGTGGTTGGTTTAGTTCCCTGAAACAAAGTGGGGCTAGTATCCGAGGGAAAACAAATAATATATTCACAAGAACCATTCAGGTTTATTGTATAATTTTTGCTCTTGTTTCCTCTTCAATCAGTTTAATGTTTGATGCATGCAGCAGGGTCACCAAAAGCAGAAAACTCTCAAATTCATGGAGACTAGTTGCAGAGTTAGTCTGAATTATGTTGCTATACTAACAAATTGTGTTCAATTGATTATTGTAAATCCACAGCTGTTTGGGATATATACAGAAGTTTCTTTGTACATTTTCAGTTTCCCTGAATCTGCATCTCATGGACCATTAGAAAGAGGAAAACCTGTCGATTCCAACCAATCATCTGCTCCGTGTAAGAAAGAGCCCACTGTGAACTGCCTTGCTACATCTTCACTGCAATTCTTTTTGTACCCTGCCCAGGTGACCCTTTGTCTCGTATCTGAACCTGGTCCAGAATTCATGTATTCTGTGTACTCTACAGTGTCTAAGGTGCTATATTCATTCCACTTGTGCCAACCTTCTGGGTGTATCAGATCCCCGAGATAGCTCTTCATGACGATTGTCCGCGAATAGTTCCTCCATGGCCTACCCAAGAAGGTCGAAAAGTTGGCCCTCTCAGCCACAGTAAGGTCTGGTGCAGCAACTATGGTGCAGTTCTGTAATGATATGCCGGTGTTCTGGTTTGGGTCCTCTCTCCCTTGAGCAGTGATCATGTTCTCTTGACCCAGGATTGGTTTTCGAACTTGAATGAGACAGTTCTGGAAGATCGCTGCTGCATTGCCAAAGATGAAATCAATTGTGCCTTGGATTGTACATTCACGGTAGAATTGTTGGAGAGAATGAGCGTAAAGGGTGTCCTGATAGGAAATGATGTTGCAACGATAGAAGGCAGCATTGGAATTCACCCGTAGAGCAACTGCCTGGTGCTTCTGTGGACCGGCTGTGTTCATGATTGTAAGGTCCGTTGCTATGAATTTGTCTCCAACCACAGCTGCAAACATAATGGAAGAAATCAAATTTGGGGAAAGCACAGAAAATCTACAATGAGAAAGCAAATGTGTTAATGCAACATACTCAAGGTAGCCGAAGTGAAGGTGGAAAACCCATCAATGAAGTTTTTAGAGCTGGTGATCACTGTTGAGTTCATACCGTCTCCAACCAAGATGATATTAACCTTCTCCCTGTGAATGACCACATTTTCTGTGTATTTTCCTGCCTTTATTCTTATCACATACCTGTTCAAGCTCATGTTTGGGGCCATCCTGACCGCCTCTCCAATGGTGCGGTGTTTTCCAATCCCATCGCTGGAAACAACAACGTGTGGCCTCACTCTGCGCCCTCTTTCCATCATCCTCCGATGACCCGTCGTCATCCACGCCAATGGGAACTCATCTTCCGGCACGTTGTTGATCAACATTGGTACATTCTTGCTGATTGCTTGGGGGTTTATGGTCTCCATATACTTGATCATGGCCAAGCAATTGCTGATCATGTGAGAAATGGGATCCAACAAGCCTTGAAGGTATTCTTTGAGACCCTTCTGTCCCTTCAAATCATATTCTTCCAAATCAGAGAATCCATCAATGCACGTATTCTCATTTGTCATCGCCGCGCTGAGAAGGGTTTTGAGATTACCATACGATCGAGGAAGATAACCTATAGAAGCTGGGAATCTACGCAAGTCATCAATGGCTTGTCCAAGTTCATAAAGGGTTTGATCCAGCATATCTGCACAGTCATTCAGAGCGTTCTTTTCGTGAGAATTCAAATCTTGGTGGGTAAAGAGACCCGTAACATCAAACCCAGTGTCCACGACTGTTCTGATGGTTTGATTGATCGCAAACTCAAGAAGATAATGAAGGGTTGTTGAGCCGTTCTTGGAGGTGGGAATGGTGGAAGAGAGGGTGGTGAAGCAGAGAGAAGGGTAGAAAGTGTTGGTGCAGGCATTCTTGATCAGTGGATGTGGTGGTGGTGGAACCAAAGAGGACTTGGCCGGGGTAGACGATGAGTAGTCCCTGAGAAGAGAAGCAAAGAGCAATGTGGTGATTAGGGTAAAAAAGACGAAGAGAATGATGGTCTTTGATTGGGTGCTTCTTTTCAGATTCTTGGAGGATTGAGTTGAAGTCTGGAAGTTGGTATTGCACTCCATTCTGGGGAGAAGTCGAAATGCAGGTGAGAACAAATGAAATATGTGGTTCCGAGTGAAGTAGGAATAATGCTAGGATCACCCAATTTTTTCTCCAAAGCTTGTCAGCGTGTTTGCTTTGAGTTTTTTGAATTAAATTTTTTAAAAATTAAACTTTTTAGTTTTCGTATTTTTTTGTTTTTAGTGAATATTTTTTAAAATTTTAAACATTTTTTTTACTTTTTTAGATGCACCTTACTTAGGCTGTATTTAAAAAATAAAAAATTTATGAAAAAATATTTTAAAAAATTAATAAATACATAAAAATACAAAAAATATAATAAATTCTTGTATTTTTGGTATTTAGTGAATTTTTAAAAAAAAAATTTATAATTTTTTTACTTTTTAGGTATATTTATGTTAGGTGTGTCTAAAAAGTAAAAAAATTACTTAAAATATTAAAAAAATTTAGTAAAAATAAAAAAACACGGAAAGTAAGAAAGTAAAATTTTTTAAAAAGTGTTTTTTAAAAAATGAAAACAAGCATCCGTACATAATCTATGTAAAAACTTCATAAAGCAATGTCTCACATATCAGCAATGCTAAGTATCATGAAAAAATTTTCATGAAAATAATCATAAAAGCTTTGTGGCCTTTAGAATACATTTAGACTAAAGTACCACACACTAATCAAGGTAATCCAAAGATCATAAATCTTTCATAATCATTTTTATGAAAAAATTTTCATGATCTCTAACTTTTTTCCTCATAAATTAGTGGGCGCCCCGTACTGGTTGGGACTCACTTCCTACTAAGACGTTGTATTTTTTTGAGTGATGTTAAAGAGTCTAAAAGTTTTATTAAAATTTTTATCAAATATCTTGTGTGAGTGTAAAATTTATATCATATGAGTTCTATGTGAGTCGCACACCCATGTGAAAGATTTAGTAAAAATTTTAATAAAACTTTTGAGATGTCTAACATTATTCATTTTATTTTATTTTTTTTTGAGTGATTCTATTTACGCACCACGTAAAGACACCTACATTTTGAATTTTTTGACTTTTTCTCGATACACCTCATTAATTTTTGTATAATACCAAAATAATCTTGACCATCGCCGGCCACCACCGCCTCCTGCCGGCGTTGTTCCCTCCTCAGTCTCTCTCAACCTCCCATGCCGCCGCCCCTCTCCAGTCTCTCTCCCCCTCCCGTCGCTACTTTCTCCTCTCTAACCTCAATTCATTTGCTTCACAACCCCTTTGCGTCGTCAATGCCTCATCCCGCTACTGTCGCAGCAGCCCCCCTCCCCTTCAGTTGTGATCATTAGATCGTGACCTCTCTCTCTCTCTCTCACAATCGCTATCGCTAGATCGCAATCTCCTCCCATCGCTGTTCACTCTTCAACCCTCCCAACTTCACCAAACTTCGAAACCCTAGAAAAAGAGAAGAAAAAGATAAAGAAGAAGGCTGGAAAGGTGGGTGCTGTGGAAGAGAATGAGGATGGAAGGCAACTGTTAAGGGGAAATGGTTAGTTAGGCTGACTCCAACGTCGACACAACACTGGTGTTGGGTTGTGGTTGGTGTGTATATTGGGGGATGGTGGTTGTGGTGTAAAGTTTGTCCAAAAAAGTAATTTAATTACACTGACACCCTTAAGTTTATATTTATTATAGTTTTTCTCTTCACTTTTTAGAAATTACATCTCTTTCCTGAGGTTTAAAATTTTATTGCAGATTCCCCCTTCAGCAATTTAATTTTTCTAAATACCAATTTTTCCCTTATTAGGTAAATTACACGACACCCCTCACATTTTAGAAATTACAATCCCCTCAAAGGTTTAAAGTAGCATTATCAATTGCCCCCTCAGTTAGTATTAGTTGGAAAAAAATTAATTGAAAAAAAAAATTTGTTAGTAAAGTTTTTAAATTTCTATTTAAAAACCAATGTAAGCTCATTTTTTGAATTTACGTTTTTTCTTTAAATTTACAAACTGAGACAACCATTTATAAATAAAAAAAAATTAAAAACCTTTTATGACAGGTTTTTAAATTTTTGTAAATATCAATTGAAAACTGAAAACGAAATGGTTATCAAACAGGCTTGATGGTAAAAATGTCGTAAAATTAACAAATAATTAAATAAGTTACCAATGTAAGAAATGACTTATCAAAAGATTCTTAGGGTACGTATGGTTTGATTTTTAAAATTTTTTTTAAAAAAAAATTAAAAATTAATTTGGTTAAGAAATAAAAAATAAAAAAGTAAAAAATATTATGTGTTTGGTGACATAGCCTAAGAATTTAGTATTCTTAGGCTATGTATGGTTTGATAATTATTTTTTATTTCTTATTTCTTATTTCTTAACCAAATTAATTTTTAATTTTTAAAAAAAAAAAATTCTGAAAATCAAACCATACATAGCCTAAAAATCTTTTGATAAGTCATTTCTTGCGTTGGTAACTTATTTAATTATTTGTTAATTTCACGATATTTTTACCATCAAGCTGGTTTGGTAACCATTTCGTTTTCAGTTTTCAATTTATATTTACAAAAATTTTAAAAACTGTCATAAAAACTTGTTTGATAATTTTTTTGGTTTATAAAAGGTTGTCTCAGTTTGTAAATTTGAGAAAAAAACATAAATTTAAAAAATGAGCTTACGTTGGTTTTTAAACAGAAATTTAAAAACTTTACTAACAAAATTTTTTTCCAATTAATTTTTTTTTTAAATAATTTTTTTTCGGGGCAATTGGTAATGTTACTTTAAACCTTAGGGAGGGGATTGTAATTTCTAAAATGTGGGGTGTCAATATAATTTACCCAATGAGGGAAAAAATGGTATTTAAAGAAATTAAATTGCTGAAGGGGGAATCTGTAATGAAACTTTAAACCTCAGGGGTGGAGATGTAATTTTCAAAAGGTTGAGGGAGGAACTGTAATAAATATAAACCTCAGGAGGTGTTAGTGTAATTTACCCTAATTTAATTAAGAGATAAATTGGTAAATAAAAAAATATTAGAAAATGGTGTAGACTGAGAGATTGAGTGGTGTGTAAATATAACATTTCTTTTTTTTTTTTTTGATAAATTATAAATGCATCTTTTGAAATTTACTTAAAATATGGATTGTCCTTTATGATTTTGAAAATTACAAATATTTTTGTGTCAAAATTATTGATAGAAAAAATAAAATTGTTATTAATTATTCTTCTATACAAGAATAAAATTACTTGAACGTTAATTAAAATATCTTTCTGACATCATCTGAAACAGTCAATTGACCTAATGATATATAAATAAATTAAAAAGTGTCATTTACTATCCGATTAGAAACTTAAAGAGGCAGGATGTAATTTTTAAAATCACATAAAACAATTCGTATTTTAAACAAACTTTAAACAAGCATTTATAATTTACCCCTTTTTTTTCTCCTCTATGTCTATGTTCTTATCTTTTTTTTCAAATTTTATACAAAATAATGTAGCCATTTGTGATTATTTCATTTCAAGCAAAGCATCCATAAGTGTGGCTCAAAATTGTAAGTATGTTAGTTTCATATCATTTTGTGTGAGGTTTATACATAGGAATTAGAGTAAATTACACTAACCTTATTGAGGTTTACAATAATTACACCAACCTTTCCGTTAGTAAAGTTAAAATGATCAAATTTATACAAATAATGTGAAGACACAAAAGATAAACAAATATACATATATATACATTTTAATGTTAAAGGTAACAACATTATTTTTTTCATCTGTATGATTAACAAATTATTGATAAAAATAGGGCTAATTGATACGTGAATTAAAACCTTGAGGAAACTCAATGTAATTATGTTAAAATTATAGACCTTGTATTTTTTTTTAAATTTCAAGAGAAATCAATGAAATTTATCCTAATAATTATGTTTGTAAGTTTTGTTTTATCACTTTTTATTTACTTTCTTGTGATATGCTTATAACTATTAGGCTATGTTTGTTTTCCGCCATCACAGTCCGGAGTGGATTGTGATGGATGAACAGTGAGCTTAGCCTACGTTTGCTTTGTTTGTGATCCTCCAGATTGATAGTCTGTTGGGCTTAGGATAGGCCTTGGGCGAGCGGATTATTAGTCTAGGCGAAGAGGTGGTATTAGGAAAATAGTCCGTCGGCCTACTGAGTAACCGGCCGGACGTGAGTAACCGGTCGTCCGTTGGGACGTCCGGCCGGTCAACTGGTCAACGTAATTTTTTTTTTTTTACACCTGTTGGGCATTTTTTTTTTAACATTAACGTTTAATTATTTTATATTTTTTATTAAGTAAAAATCATAATTTTATTTGTTTCATTATTTTATATAAAAATAATTTAACAATACTCACACTAACAACTATCATCAAAACAAACACAATTTTATTAATCCCCTCACTAACAATCCCCTTACTATTAATCTCCTCACTATTAATCACTTTCATTTTATCTCTGAAAATAAACGGACCTTAAAACAATGGGTTTCACATGAATTTTATTAATAATGAATCATGGGAAATTCTATGGTTACACGTGTGTATCATATATACCTTTAGTTATATTTTTTTGTGATTTTTTATCGTGACATATTATGGTATTAATTATGACATTGTAATCATGACATTATTTTAATTATGATCTAAGAATTTTTTTATTATGTGTTTGGTTATAATTTAATTTTTTTTTTTAATTATGACTCTCATATGATTGAATTATAATATTTATGGTAATCAAACCTACAAGTATAATAAGTTACATATGATACAAGTGTGCATACCCTAACATTATCCCTGAATCATTGTAAGTTGACATACGTCATAAATAAAACAGTTACACTAAAAGTTCGAGTGGCTTTTTAGTGGCTCTATTTGCATTGAAAAAATCTAAAAATTTCTTAAATATTGATTTGTGATTATGTAATAATTTTAAACAGTATATAACAATCCCAATCAAACAATCAAGACAAAGAGACACAACGATTTTACGTGAAAAAAACCACAATTGGACACCTCCAACTGTGATAAAAAAACTACGGGTAACAGCCACAAAACAATCCACTAAAAAGATTTAAAGGAATTACACAGGTATACTTTCAATTACCTAGCGAATCCACGCCTAATTGAACCAACCTCTATGTGCCTCTTCCAACCCGTTTTCATCTCGGAATTGTCTTTACGATGAGCCACCCCGGAATCCACCAAAGCTTCAGGCTTGAATTCTTCAGAATCCACCGCAGAATAACTCTCTCTTTTGTAGAACAAACAAAACCTTTGATGTACTCTCTTTAAACCATGAGTTGAATACTCAATCAAAATATCAAAGAAAAACTAAAAATATCCCCAGATATAAACCATAAAAACCAAAAAGATGATCTGGAGGATTTCAGGAGTCGTCTAGTTTTGAGAGAAAACCAACTACTTATAGAAAACCAAAAAGTAATCCTAGATTTGGAAGAAAACCAAATCCTTATTGAAATCCGGAAAACTGTGTTCGCGCGGTCCGCTCAAGCGCCCAACATCCCGCTCGAGCGTCTTCAGCAAAATATGCGTGTGACAAAACAGAGGTCCCCTCGAGTGCTAGAGAGCCCGCTCGAGCGCAAAATCACACAGCTCAGTACTTTTACAAGCGACCAAAACTTCTGGAACTAGGGATTCTCCGCTCGAGCGGACAGGCAACTTGGAATGCCATTTTGCTTCGGGGGCGCTGCCCCTCGACCCCACCGTGGCGCTGCCCCGGACCCACCAAGGGGCGCTGCCCCCTCGACCCCCGCGAGCTGACCGGGCAGCTCGATCCCCGTCATAATCAGCGAAGTGGCAATCTTGAAAGCATTAGCATCACAAACTTCTCTGAAAGGCACAATTCAGGTTGGATTCGCATCTAAACGCTCATAGCCTCATTGAAATAAAAGTGCGAAAATAAATACAACTGAAAGGAGTTTTGTCAAACGGGATTGCCAAGAAATAAAACCTAACATGCATTATAAAAGGTTGGTTAGACACTGAGATACTTAACACACCTCAAATGCAGAGCAACCTTGACCATCATCCAAGCCACTCGTCAGCGCCCGTTGATATTCTGATGCCTTCTATAGATCTTTCTTTTTCTACTGATTTTACTGTTTCAAATGTCGTAAATTGATTCCAGTATCTTCATCCATATACTCAATACTGAACAAATGCAATATATGTGGATACTCAAAATGTTGAAAATTTCATAAATGCTCACCACCGAAAATGTGGAAAATGAAGAGAAGCCATACCTTCTCTATAAATAAATAAATAAATAAAATAGCTTAAAAACGTTTTCTTTATTATCTATTATTGATTTGAATATGAAATAGAATACAAATGATAGATATAGGGTAAATAGAGTTGAGTATGAAAGATGTAAAATGAAAAAAGTGAGAAGAGAATATAGAAGGAAATATGAGATTGATTATGATATGGGTTGTTTAAAAGACAATTATTTGTATTTTTTTCAATATCAAGTATTTTTTAGTCATTTGAAATAAGAATATAATAGTAAAAATAATAATTATTAAATTGGAGTAACCAACTAATCTTTTGAGGTGCAAATAGAGCCACTCTAAATTTTGTAAAATAAGATGTAAATGCAAGACAAATAATAAATCTAATGTGTGGGTCTCGCTTCTTTGTCTCTTTGTTTCATATATATATATATATATATGTATTTAGATTTCTTTCAATAGAATGTGATTAAAAATATATGACAAGTATAATATTGTAGAGATGAAGGAAGACGTTTGAAAATCAAAATTTCTAGAGGAAGATGACGTCACAAGAGAAAGATTGAATTCATTTTTAGTTGAAGTCAAATTTGTTGAATGATAGGTAAATGTCTGAAAATTCTGAAATGATACTTTTGCATCCCATCCATGAAAAAATAGACATAATTTTGAGGGAGTAGAGAAGAAATGTACATGTTTGAAAAGAAAGAACTCTAGAGGGAGATGACATCACAAGAGAGTCTGGTCCAAGTAAATTTATTAAATTTAGTAAACATTTGAAAATTCTATACTTAGATTTTTGCCTTCACCCACCAATCACAGGCAAAGCATGAATCCTCTAGAGTGTTTATTTTATTTTATTTTATTTTCAAGTGATTCTAAATAAATAATAATTGCTTCCAAATTGTGTTGTAAGTAGTAGAGAGAATAAGGTATGGTGGGGATGTAAAATGAGAAAGATAAATAGTTGTAGTCCTATTTAAACCCTCTTTAGGGATAATAAACAAGCCGAACAGTTAATTGTTAAAACTTAATTTGATAATTTTAACGAATTTTAAAATTTGTTTAAGTTTGGTTCGTAAAATTTTTGAGTCGATCTCAAGTGAGTTTTTGTCAAACCGACCTCAAGTAATTTGATAGTTTTAGATTCATCAAACAGAGCCGAACAAATAATTGACTATTTAAACTTAATTTGAAAATTTTAATGAATTTCAAAATGTGTTCAAGTTTGGCCTATTTACTTAATGAACTAAGCCCAAACGTATTTTTAATGAGTTGAACACAAGTCGAGCTCAAGTTGTTTGGGTCGTTTATTACTCATAATCCTCTGTTTGATTGTCGATAAGAATTGTTATACATTGGTTGTTCTTTTCTTTTTTTTTCTTTTTTCTTTTTTCTTTTTTTTTGTTGTTGTTAATGATGAAATTTCCAAACTTATGGGACCATATGTTATTTGTTCCAAATTTTAATCTTTTTTTGTGATAAGAACACGCAATGAAAGTTGCCAAAAAAGTTGCCGATGGCCAACAAATAGCGGTAGCTGGCAACAGTGGCCGGTAGCGGTGAGGTGGATAAATAGGTGACATATATGTAATCAGGTGATATTTGGACAAATAATTAGATAAATAAGTGACACGTATACAGATAAATGACATTTAAACAGATAAATAAATTTTTGAACAGATAAAGGCTTGGCTCTATTGGTCCAATAATTTTAATAGTGGAGTTCTAACTTGTGTATTTTTTATTTTTTTTTAAGGTAAAAAATTTTAAATTAAACAAAATAAATAAATTTGTGATACGGTATCATATAGGTGAGGGTTGTGAGGTTGAAGGGAGAATTTGGTGCAAGGGGTTAGGTGAGGTAGAAATGCGAAAAGGAGAGGGAAGAATTATGGAACCACATAAGATTAATGAGAATCTAATTAAAGTGGCTTTCAGATATTCTTTTTATTATTTAGTTAAGTCAAGATTGATCACCTTGACACTATCCACTTACTAAATGCAACATCAACCAACATTATACATATAAAAGTAACTCTTTTTTTAAAAAAACTTTTAATGGTTGGTTGGGTGGGTGGGGTTAGTTATAAAGCCTTAATACTTTTATTGAGAATTGATTCATACTTTTCTTCATAACATGTTCATCATGTTAGATTGATGTCGTTATCCATTCCAATTATACAAGCACCAACATATATCTAATGCTTTAAAACAAAAAACAAAAAAACATGGGTCAGCATTTGATTTTCTTTTTTCTCTTTTCTTGTTGAATAATCCAAGCCTTCTCGAGTATTTCAAAAGAATAACCCTTCATGGACTAGTCTTTCATTTATCTGTTAAAATGGAAGGGTCAAAAGAAACCAAAGCTGCATAATCAAACATAACCACTTCCATAGACCCAAAAATACAAGTTCCAAACCATACAGCTATAGGACGACTAAATTATTTAACTTGCCGATTTCATCACACAAAAAAAAAATAAAAAAGAAAGAAAGAAAAGATATATTGAAATTTGAGTCTTATTATTATTTATATTACTAACAATTTCAGAATCTCAAATATCCAATCTTCATCCTAATATAGGGGTGGGGAAAAGGAAATGCAAAAGACCAACTACCATTTAACAATTGCTTAAATCACAATTCAAAGCAAAGCCCCTCAATTAAGAGGGCAACAAAACAAAACAAAACAACAAAACAAAACAAAACAAAACAAAGGAGAAGGAAAGAAAAACAGAAGCCTCTTCTTCTCATCACAAAGCTCAAATGCAGGAGGATTGTTTATTCCACAACTCAGGAATCCCCCCCAATTCACAACTCCTCCTTTGCTTTTGCTTCCAATCCATCATCTACTCAATAGCCAAAGGGACTGATTCAGCCTGAAACAATGCCATAAAATCACTCAAAAGAGTTAAGACACCTTTTCATCGGTGAATAGGTCTATGAATATATAAACCAATCACAAAACCAGACAGGTATGGGCAAAGGCACTTACCAACTTGCGGTACTTGAGAGCATAGAACATTTCGAGGTAGCGGCGAGTCTCAAGGCGATCAAGCTTCGACACATACTTCCAGAATCCGTAAACCCCAGCAAGTGTCATTAGCCTCTCGGAATAAATCTGCCACGTGTATCTACAAAAGCCAAAAAACAGAGAAATTTCTCAGTTCACTAGATAAAATTTAGAACCTGCTTGAAAACACCTTGCGTTTTCATTTTTTTGCAGAAATAATTTTTGAAATTTGAAACTAAATTTGTGTTTCCCAAAAACACTTTTCAAAACAGACAATAGAATAACGATGCCAAATATTGCTTAGGTTTTTGGTTGCTTACTTCTCCATGATGCGTTGCAGCCCTCCTGCGATGAAGATAACCTCAATGAGAAGGATCTTTACTACACCTCTCATAGAAATTGACAAGCAACTCAGCTACTTGATCGCCATGATATGGATCAATGTGGAATCCGGACTTGCCATGAATAATTATCTCAGCAGGACCCCCATAGCTAGTTGCAAACGTTGGCAAACCACAAGTCATGGCCTCGACAACAGTCAAACCAAAAGCCTCATAGAACGCAGGTTGAACAAACACGCCTTTGGTGTCAGCAATGCACCGGTAGAGCTCACCGTTCCTCACCCTGTTCATCTGTGATGAAATCCACCTAAATTGACCCTGCAACTTGTAGGTTTCGATCATTTCATACATCTTCTTCATCTCGGCTTGCTCTTCCAAATCCTTGGATTCCTTCCTACGATCTCCACCAACAACCACAAGGTTGGCCAACTCTCTAAGCCGAGCATTCTTACCATACAACTCGACAAGCCCTGTCAAGTTCTTGACACGATCCAACCTTGCCATAGAGAATATGATGGGCTTTTTCTTGTCCTTCAACATGCCTCTGTTAAGACACCCCATGCATATTTTTAGTGTTTTTTACAAAACAGATTATGAAACAAAACCAAACAGAGCAATGAAGTACTAATTAAAAGAGATTTGAGACTTACAAATGCTCTTCGTTCTCCACTTCACTAAAGAGAAGCTCTTCGATTTCAGGGTGGAACTTAGTCAGTCTCTTTTCCTTCTCGGTGTGAGGGAAGTAAATCGACATATCAGCCCCGGGCGACACAATGTTGAATTTGGGGTCAAACACATCAATACCATGAACAACTCTGTACAAACCGGGCATGGTGAACGCGGTATGACTCTCATACTGACCTACTGTGTTCTTACTGAAAATACCAAAGTTGTAAAAAAGATATTAGGATAACAGAGAGGAGCAATCTGACAAGAAATCATATATAACAAACAACAGAAAACAATACCTTCCAGCGATTTCCTGGAATGTGCTAGTGATTATGAAATCAGTATGATTCATAGCAATAAGATCAGCTGTGAACTGGGAAGAGAAGTGATACTTCTCATCAAATTTCTTCCAATAAATGTCAGAATCGGGATATTTTGTTTTTTCCAAAGCGTGAGCAATGGTACACTGCATAAGAAGCAAAATCAAAAAATTAGACCCATTGGTTGTTGAATGAAGTTAAGAAATGTAGATCAACTCCTGATTGAAATAAAATAAGTGAACATCAACAAATCACCTGGGTTACACCCAATTTGTGAGCTAACAATGAGGCAACAAGGTTACCCTCACTGTAGTTGCCGATCACCAGATCTGGCTTTGCCTGCAATTCTAAGGCGATTTCATGTGCAACGTCCTAATCATATTACAAGCAAAAGATTAGAAACAACTTGAATAAGCAATCGATACTAAAGAGGAATAGAAAATAATTTGGAAAAGAGAGTAGAATGAAAAGAAACATGTTTCACCTCAGTGAAAGTCTCCATGTATGGCCACACTTCAAAGCGTGAGATCCATTTACGGACGATACCCTTCTCGGTTCTAAAGGGGACACGAAGAATATGCGAATGCTCAGCTCCATAAACTTTCTCAAGGCGTTGATTGCAGGTAGTACCTACTGCATCGGGGAGAAGCCGAGTCACCTGGATACAATAGCAACTTAGCAAGATCAGGAATTGAGAGGAGAAACAAAAACCAAAATGAGAGTTCGAAATTTAAGCATCACACTAACAATGAGAATACGAGGAATGATGTCAAGCCCTTGCTGCTTTATACGTAAAAGCATTTCCTTCTCCATGGCAGGAACTTGATCTAAAATGTAAACCACCTATAAGAAGAAAAAAAAAATTGACAAAAATTAACATTTACTGGCAAGCGAATATAAAGAACTTTTAAAGGTATTGGAATTTTGAACTTCTGATACCCCGATACAATTATTTAAAACAAGAGAGATCTTTTTCTTTTTTTTCTTAGAATCAGACCTGGCCACCGGTGTCAGGATAGCCCAAAACATTTTCTTGAGCAAAGTAGCCATGGGGGGAAAGGATGACCACATTGAAAACCATAGGGATTCTGCCGAGAAATGTCTCAAGAGTGCACGGATCAGGAGCCTCGAGAAGGTCCAACAACAAATGAATCATTTCCAACACTCTCCCGGCGGTATCACCCCACCCTCTCTCCAAACCAAGCTCTTGAAACTTGTGTTCAAATTCAGAATATGTTGTGTCCGAAGGAAATGTGAGGAGATACTCCTCTGCCTTCCTCAGAACAAATTGGAGAGCATTGAGGTTTTGGATCCTATCATTGAGCATCATTGTCTGCACAACAACAACAACAACAACAACAACAAAAATCCCAAGTATTACAATACTAGAAATTTTATTGAAAACAAAGTAAATTGTGATTTGAAAAACCAAACAACAATAGATGTTTGTGGAAAATGGAGAATGAAGAAAAGGATTACCCTGCCATTGTAGTTGTGGGCTTTGAGAAATTCAAGGAGTGGGTGCATGCTTTCCTTGTCATGGAACATTTTTGCAGAGAGGTGCCTGTTGAGGAACTCAACCCCATTCCCAATTGACTTTGAAAGAGTTGGGCGAGGAAACGATGCGGTGAATGGTTCAAAATCCAACTCAAGAACAAAGTTGCCATTGCGACTACACAAAAACCAAACTAAATCAAACTAAAGTCTTGTAAATAAGACATGACATACTAATGATTATCAATTTCATTACTAAAAAACCTAAGTAGTAATTATTTTAAGCTTAACAACTTACGGTCCTTCAACAAGTTCTTCTTTGAAATGAAGATACTCCGGGACGCTCAACTCCTCAACAACAAGGGCATTAATATTCACTCGGATGTATTCCCAGACACCGGGCCTCAACCGAATAGCAAGAGCAACCCATGGAGGCAAAACTATTGCTTCCTGTCATACATACACGATAATAATACAGATCAGAGTATTTCAGCCCAGATCTACACTATACACCAAGTTCCCAACTTACTGAATATCCGATCAACACAAATAAAGCACAATTGCACAGACCTAAGAGAAAAACACAAACCCTAGAGAGAAGAAACATGAGATATACTCAAAAACCCAACATCCCAATCATATTTCAAATCATGAAGTATTAAAGGTGCTCAACAAATTTAGGCTGTGTTTGGAGCATAGATTTGAATAATATACGTACCCAAATTCATGACACATTCATGATACCAACACCACATAAAAGAAAGAAAAGCATGTAAAAATCATTTGAACTACCTGGGCAGATTTCAGAACCTCTCCGAAGGGTCCATCATGCAGTTTTTGTTGGGCATGTTTGGGGAGTGCTTCAAACTCTGCCTCAATCTGATGGGGTTTCAGAATTCCTTTACCATGTTTTTCAATACTACAAAAAAAAAAAAAAAAAAAAACAACAACAACAACAACAACAATGTTAATAAGCTTTTTTTTAGTAGTCTCTGTTTCGATCACATTATGTAAATAGATCAAATCAAACATACTTCGAGAGAAGCAACAAGAGTTCGTTGCGATGAGTAGAGAGTGTTCCATCAAGACGATCACGAAGGCTGTGAACTCGAGTCAGAACATGAGATGCCATGTCTTCTTCACTACGAAAATCAAGGGATTCTCAGACAAAACTAAACCTGCAATACATACATATACATATACATACAATTAATGGGTATATATATGTGGATTATCCAAAAAGCACAGGGAGAGAGATTGACCATAAAGTCAAACCTCCACCTAATTAATAAAGAATATTGATCTAGAATGTGAGAAATCTACAATTTTCAAAACCCACCAACCCACGCAATACATTTTATTAGATCGCAATTTATTTCAACTGAAATTTCTTACCCTTTTTTTCACTGAAATTTCTTACCCCTTTTTTTTAAAACAAATAGACTTCGTACTTGACCAAAACATTATGATCGAAATTTTCGTAAATATTTATGTTAAAACCCATCAATAGATTTGGACGAAAATTTCATATACATTTATATTAAAATAAACAAGATCTGGTTATACTGCGTGAGATGTGTGAACAAAACTAGAAGAGAAAAAACAGGGCACGTTACAAAGGTCACCCTTTCTTTCCTATGAAAACAGGACAGGAAGTAAAAAAAAAAAAAAATGGTTTCAGTGAACAGATCACGGGTTTGTCTAGATCAGTTTCTATTAACTAACGCGACAACAATCCAAAAAAATAAAATAAAATAAAATCTTTAAAAAGTTTTCTTGCATGAAATCGTTACAAGGAGGAACCTTTCTTTCCTAAGAAAACAGGACAGAAAATAAAAAAGAGATGGGTCTGAGTAAAAGAACAGATCATAAATATAAATAATATTAATAAAACTAAATAAATAAATAAAAGAGTAAATATTTAAGAAGTTTTTGTATGAAATCGTTACGTGTTAACAAAGAATCGAATGTGATTGAAAAACAGAGCAAGAGAAAAAAGGATCAACCAAAAGAAAAACAGCGACTATACTACTTACTCAAGCTTAAAATAATAGCACAAAGAGTAGACGAAGAAGCAAAGAAACAGAAAAGCGTGCTGTGAAGGCGTGATTGCAGCGAAATTTATAGCTAGGAAGCCAGCTTTCAAAATGGTAATAACAACTTTCACCTCAAATTTTGAATTTTTGGTAAGAATATTCTAGGGACTATGATTTTTATATATACAGAGGATCACAAAGGAACACTGTCTATAGCAAAAAAATTATGTTTCTGGAATCCCTGGATTTCAAACTTTTGGATCAAGAAACTTCCGATTTGTGCATTTTATTTTCCATAGATTGCGAGAATCTTTACTACTTTTTTCCCCCAAAAAAAATAAAAATAAAAATAAAAAATAACTCGGAAGGGATCTCAGAAAACAGACAAATAGCAAAAAAGATACTCTGAAAAGGAAATTTCGAAAATCTAAAGCTTTGGTCATTAACATGTGAGATCAAAGCAAAATCTCGATTAAGCCCAGAAAATCTTAGCCACCGACATGTGTGATATGTATGAACACTCAAGAGCAGAATTACCACCTTCTTTTTCTTTTCCCGTTCTTCTTGAGAGCAAACCAAAGAAGAACAGAATCAAAATGAAGAAAGGGAAAAATAAAAATTGAATGAACGGAACAGAGCAAGAAAAACAGAGAGAGAAACGAATGAGTTCGTTTGGTTTGAGATGGAGAAGATACAAGGCCTTGGATACCCTTTTATACACAAATAATTGACCAATATATTTTGGTTTTCGAAAATGGTCCTTTCTCTCTCTTCTCTCTCTCTCTCTCTCTCTCTCTCACAAACACATGAAACACACACAAATACCTTCCTCTGGTTTCACAGTAGTTTTCACAAATCGACTTTTATTGTTGTCACATTGTTTTGTATAATCTTGTCTTTCTCTCACCTTATTATAATCCATTGCACCAATAATCCACTTTCTCCTTCTTCTTATACATGCGTTTGTTTGTGCTATTATTATTCTAGTATTTTATTTGATTTTCTGAATTCTGAATTTTTTTTATTTTTTATTTTTTATTTTGTTCATTGTTTGCCGTTCAACAGATCAAATCGTAGTATAAGGTATCCAGGATTTGGATACTCCTCCATCTCAGACCCACTGGTTCCTGTTGTGTTTGACTCTCCCCTCAGAGAATGCTCAAAGTGCCCTTATTTGGCATGGGCTTATCACATTAAAGTATTCTTAAAAAAATAAAGCATATTAAAAAATTAATAAAATAAAATATTATATTTAAATTATAATTATTTTATTTTTTCTTTTATAAAAATTAAAAAAATACAATCAAATTAAGGTCTTCCTTGAAAATAAATTATTTTAATAATTTTTTGACATTTTACAAAAACAAATATAAAAAAATAAAAAATTGATGTGATGGTTTAGACACCATTTGGGAAGTGATTTTGTAAGTTTTTTTTGGCTATTTTAACCACAAAAAAGATAAAATAGACTATTTTAGTCACAACAAACAAAACATCACATCCAACCCATAATCATTACACTATTCTCTCACAAAAAAAAGTCAAAAAGCCCTTCCGAAACAAAATTTTTTAGTCCAGATTAAAATAGCTAAAAAAACTAAAAGGTCAAAAAATTAACTCACTTTCCAAAACAATCCTTATAATGACTTTTTAACTTTTTTTTTGTATAAAATATTTAAACAAGGCCTAAAATAATAAAAAGAAATTAAAAAATCAAAAAAACCAACTCATTTTTCAAAGCCAGTGTGCGTTGTCATCACCCTAGGCGACTTTGATTTGCTTCTTACGTTTTTTTTTCTTATTATTAAAAGTATTTTTAATTTACATTTTCTAAAAAAAAATTGGGTTCTCTTCTTTATTCGGCCGGGCAATGGCCTAGATCTAATTTATTTGAAGTTAAGAAAATCAAAATCAAAAATATTTCTTTTCTAACTTCTAAAACTACATCATATATACCAATTTTTAAATTAAAATAAATTATAGGAGTTAGTTTGAGAACATAGTTAAGTCAATTTTTGATTTTTAAGTCAAGTTTGACATGATTGAAAAAAGATAAAAAGTCAAAAAGTCACTATCTTATTTAAGTCACATCATCTTATTTAAGTCACATCACTTTTCTAACACATCACTTCAAACCCAACCCATATTTCATAAAAAGTCAAAAAGTACACTTATTTAGTCTTCCCAAACTAGGCCTTAATCTATTTTAGGTTATATTATCTATTTATTTTTTTACATATTTTTTTATAAAATTTTTTTTAAAAAGTTAAAAATTTAACTTTAAACCAACTCTTCAAAGCAAACGCCTGTTGTTGTTGAGTTGGAGCGATGCGCAGTCACCGTTCAACGTGAGAAGAAGGGTTTGGCCTACCATGTGGTTCTGTTCAGTAAGCAGAGCAATCAAAATAATTCACTCATTAAGTCAATTTTTGATTTTTAATCTATTTTAGGTTATATTATCTATTTATTTTTTTACATATTTTTTTATAAAAAAATTTAAAAAAAGTTAAAAATTTAACTTTAAACCAACTCTTCAAAGCAAACGCCTGTTGTTGTTGAGTTGGAGCGATGCGCAGTCACCGTTCAACGTGAGAAGAAGGGTATGGCCTACCATGTGGTTCTGTTCAGTAAGCAGAGCAATCAAAATAATTCACTCATTTTCAAGGATTATCAAAGTATAATTCACTCATTTTCAAGGATTATCAAAATAATTCACTCATTTTCAAGGGTTGTATGATAATTTATTATTTTTTTAATAGTAAACCTTTGGAAATGCCAATGTGGGACCATGTAGGTCCTATGGGATGTGAATTCATTGTTTGGCTTGGCATTCTTGATCATGGTCATTTTTAAATCTTTTATAAATTATATCCTTTTTTTATTTTTTCTATCTGTCTTTTTATAAAAAAAAATTAAACAGTATATTCATCTAAATTATTCTAAATAACTCCACGTTAAATGAAATATTTAATAATTAATCTAAATGTTATTGTTTTATGAGTCACATCAACAAACTTTTAGCAATAATGTTGAAAATATAAAGAAATTTTTTTATTTTTTTTTAAAAAAAAAAAAAACCATTTAGTACCATTGTTAGTGTTAAAAAAAAAAGTACTGAAATAAGTGAAAGATATATATATTATAACGACTATTTTCAAAAACATATTGAAATAATAAATATTTTGTCATTTTGTAATGACAAAATTAGAAACTCTTAAAAATTTTACCATTATGTCTACAATGATGTGATATGATATGTATCAATTGTTAATTTGTTAATATAAAACTCAATTCCTTACTATATCATTGTAAATGAATTTATGTATCTAAAAGTATGCGCTTATAGCATTCCTATTTTGTAATTCTCAAATACAACCCATAAAATTGTCATTAATAGATTATAGAACTCATAATAAAGTATATCATTAAAACAAATTAATATTGTAAATGATAAAACGTTTTACTTTCCATTTAAATCTAATAAAAAAAAATGAACTCCACTTATATTGGGCATTGTTGAAATTTTCATCTACAGGTCCAGCTTTGCTCATCATCTAACTTTGAAAGAATTTTAAATGTTTATTAATTTTGAATTGCAAAGAATGAACTTTTTCTTTATGATTACAAAAATAAATGGATGGAATAGATTTTATCTCATTTTAATAATTACCCAAGAATTATCTGATTATATTATTTGAGAAAAAATTGTATCTTATAAGTCACTCTTCCTAAACAATTTTTAGTGTGATGGTAGGTGATACACTTTGAATTCTCACTCATAATATTTGGTTTAATTCTCTATCTCACTCCTTCAATATGTCACGCTAACTTAAAATATATGGTAAATTATAAATACATTTTTTTTATTTTTTTAAATATAAATTATCTATTATAATTTTAAAATTATTAAAAGGAATCATTTGTTATGAAATTAAAATTTCAAGAGACAAAATATAATTTTTAAAATTATAGTGAGCATATTGTATTTTAAACAAACTTTAGGAGTGTATTTATAATTTATCTTAAAATTTAATAATAAAAAATATAAATAAAATATATTAAATTTAAAATTATGTAACAACATCAAAAGAGTTAAATTTGTGCTAAAAATGAAAAAGATACCGTAATTTCAGCTAAAAAAGAAAAGGAAAAAGAAAGAAAGGAAGTAATTATTTGTGACCAGAAATCACCGTCCCCGCACGTTACGGTACGGTAGGGTGGAGTATTTTGTCAGGGAAACAACTCCTGACGTGGCGAAATTTCATTGGTCTGTAATGGGAAATGGAGTGGGGGACCGCAGAGTAATTGGAGCCCCATCCAATTGGGATAATGTATTTTATTTATTGCTTACATCTAATTACACGTCAAAAATGTGGGCCCTACCCCCACCCCACGGGCCCACCAATTACATTTATATTGTGATGAAATGATGACAGGTCAAGTCACGCCACCCCATTTGAGATTATGCTTTATGCTAGTATTATTTTCAAAATAATATTTGAGCTTATAATAAACTTTTATTTTTAATATAATATGAACGGCTAGTATTATTTTCAAAATAATACTTCAGCTTATACTAAGGTCAAGTTTGGCAACATCAAAATAATCCATCTTTTTATCTTTTTATTTTTTTTTCATCACATCACCTCTCTACTTTTCTGCACATCTTTTCGTAAAAAGATAAAAAGTACACTTATTTAGATCATCCCAAACAACCCTTTAAACTTTTACCTTTAATATAATGGTGTTTTTGAAAATTGATAAAAAGTTGACTTTTGACTTTTTCAGTCAGAAAAGCTAGCAGGTAATGACTTCGGTAAAAAAATTAACTTTTTTTGCAAAAAAAAATTAAAAATTGACTTTTTACTATATTGTCAAAATGCCCCGCATGAACGGCTAGTATTATTTTCAAAATAGTACTTGAGCTTATACTAAACTTTTATTTTTAATATAATGGTGTTTTTAAAAATTGATAAAAAGTTGACTTTTGACTTTTTCAGTCAGAAAAGCTAGCAGGTAATGACTTGGGTAAAACAATTAACTTTTTTTGCAAAAAAAAATTTGAAAATTAACTTTTTACTATATTGCCAAAATGCCCCAGCATGAACGGCTAGTATTATTTTCAAAATAGTACTTGAGCTTATACTAAACTTTTATTTTAAATATAAGGGTGTTTTTAAAAATTGATAAAAAGTTGACTTTTGACTTTTTCAGTCAGAAAAGCTAGCAGGTAATGACTTGGGTAAAAAAATTAACTTTTTTTGCAAAAAAAAATTTGAAAATTAACTTTTTACTATATTGCCAAAATGCCCCAGCATGAACGGCTAGTATTATTTTCAAAATAGTACTTGAGCTTATACTAACTATAATTTGAAAGCTCCAAACAAACAACACACTCAAATCAATGGGTGAAACCATATTTTGAGAGGCTTTCCAAACGGAGCCTAACTTTTTTTGAAAAAAAAATTGAAAATTAACTTTTTACTATATTGCCAAAATGCCCCCGCATGAACGGCTAGTATTATTTTCAAAATAGTACTTGAGCTTATACTAAACTTTTGTTTTTATATTTTCAAAATAGTACTTGAGCTTATACAAAACTTTTATTTTTAATATAATAT